CCCCCCCCCTCCCCTATTTCGGAAGGTATTGCCAACCGTCATGATCATGCAACAACTTCTTTCCGGTTTTGTAAGTTAGTATATTTCATTTATTTTTGAAACAGCAGAGACGTCTTTGGAAATAAGTTTAAATAGTAATATTGGTACACGCTAAATATTTGTCAAGTTATTCCATACCTCTGCGAATTAGAGTAGCATCGTATTTTTATTGTACTCTTTTCCTAACAATGAACACTGTTATGTTCGTAGGTACATAGTTTTGGTATTGTTCCCTGTTACATAAATCCATATAATGAACGAAAACCCTAGACACACTGCACAGGCCTACATGCATATTTAAATGATTAATGACTCTGTTGCAGGGTATGAGACACTCTTGATCACATGTCCACCAGTGAACCATAGTTCGGCAAAGAAGTCTGCCATACCGTCCATTCCAGTTTATAAAACCAAGTCGAACTAAAGCTGTTTAACTCTCAACCCGAAAGAGATCAGGAACATCGGCTGTATTCGGCAGTTTTTCAACTGCAGATCATATGAGATGCATGCAAGATTTTGGTGCATTCACTTGTTACTGTACCTCTCGGTTGGATTATGGTAACGCCCTGCTCTGTGGTATATCTGACAAACTAACTAGTCGTCTGCAGATCTAGAGGGTCCAGACCACTGCAGCACGGCTAGTTACTCGTACTCGAAAGAGAGAGCACATCACACCTGTGCTTTATTCGTTGCACTGGTTACCTGTACGATACAGGTCGCAGTACAAAATTCTGGTGTACACAAGGCACTGAATGGAACAGCTCCTCGGTACATACAGGAGCTTGTTATCCTGTATCAGCCGTCACGATCACTGCGGTCGGAGTCAGAATCTTTGTTGTGTGTCTCAAAATCTCGTACTGTGACCTACGGAAACAGATGCTTTGGGAGGGTTTCGGCTACGTTGTGGAATAGCTTACCATCTGCTATTAGAAATTCAAAATCCCTGGCCAAGTTCAAGAGGGACATCAAAACTCACCTCTCAACGTCTGCATTTTAGAATCTTTGCAAAGACGTCATGTAAATACCACCCTTTTATTTGTTCAACTATGTGCACATTGCTTGCTTAAATGTATTAAGTGATTGTAAGCCTTTGTTTTTTGTTTTCACAATGCTGTAAAGCGCTTTAGAGTAATTTTACAAATTATATAGGGCGCTATATAAATGTTGTATATTATTTTTTATTAAAGATCTGTTCTAAATTTTAACTGAAAGTAAGCTCTGTGCTGTAGCTTCAACGTACTTGACGTCGTCGGGTACCCTTGAGGATACTGTCTAAGTCAGGCAGTTAATATACTGTCTAAGTCAGGCACCAGTTGGGAATCAGGGCTGGGATTAAAGTTGGACACTGTCACATATTTCCAGACATGAAAGATCACAGCAAGCCATTATTACCCTTTGGCCTTTCATACATTACGAGGAGTCCCGATATAGCCCGTATCATGAAACATAAATTATACAAGCAGACATTGTCAGTTGTGACGTAGATGGATCTGTACGAAGGTGTATTGGTACGGAAAAAATCGGCAGACCGGCCGGGTCAAGCAAGGATCGATATAGCAGCTTCTCAATGGACCCAACTGTATAGCTTCCTCGGTCGCTGCTGAAATAGACCAGGGTTGTTTCACGATTTTTGTTGATATGTACAAAAAATGTATTGCATTTCTCATTCTTAAAAATAATAATTCTCAGTAATATTTTACATTAAATCAATACAAAACAGAACCCCCTCATCTAACACGGTACATAGTTTAGTCGTGTTCAGATGCTTCCATCTATGAAAATATTATGAAAAAGATATCCAGCCGTCTGAAAGACATATGTGTTGCCCGAATATAAGCGTTACAATTCGTTGGTATTGGACCTTTGTTATCGGGATTCTTAAAAGAAGTTTGTGTAGCACACACGTTCTGGTCGTAATGCAAGGAATATATGAAGTTTCTTTAAAATTTCCACATGAAGAACTTCATTACTTCCTGTAAATTACGAATTATAATTATATCATTTAATCTTGCTTGTAACATGCATTTGCATTGGCTTAAACATTTATGGCATCAGCCCATGACGTAAAAAAAATGACGTCGCCGTTTGTAACGTCGCTTTTGATTGGCTGATACAGCAGCGCAATAATTTCTAAGAGAAAAAAGTCCATCAATAAAAGTGTATTTCCACAGGGATTGTGTATAGTAGATTAAATTATAAGGATTAATTTGAATATATTTTTCATGTTATGGAGCGCTATAACACACAAAAACCGGAGTGTACTCTCAGCATAAACCGCGAAGCGGTTTATTTAGAGCACACTCCGTTTTTTTGTGTTATATCTCCATAACATGGAAAATATATTCAAGTTAATCCTTAATTACTCTTAAGGACTTATCGATATCAAACAGTACTGGACCTAAAACAGACCCTCGAGGAACTACTGATGTTAAACAGTACTGGACCTAAAACAGATCCTTGTGGAATTACTGATGTTAAACAGTACTGGACCTAAAACAGATCCTTCGGGAACTATTGATGTAAAACAGTATTGGATCAATACCAGACCCTTGTGGAATTACTGATGTTAAACAGTATTGGAACCTAAAACATACCTTTGAGCAACTGTTTCCTGTCTTTTGAAAAAAACACCTTTACAAATTAAGAAAATTAAAATTTTAAAATTTACAGGGGAAATATTTAGTCAATTGCATAATAGGTGGTGGTGGATGAGCTTTCTAAAACATTAGGTTATTTCATTAATCAAATCTTCCCTGTTGATAGGAAAGGGAAGTGAAACTTAGGTTTATAGACATTTTATCATTTTAATAAACTTGTTGAGAAGAATTTGTGCAGTGAATTACCGGCGATATACATATTTGTAATATCAGTATAAACACCTACCTTCTTGATAAAATTGTGTGATGGATTTGTTACAGTCAATCCCAGAGCTATTTCTGTCTTCACTTGTACGATTTTATGTCGTGATCCTCCATGATGATATCCCAAGCCATATTGACCGACGCGTTTCCTTGTCAACAATTTAAATAGAAAACGATTATGGAAAATGTCATCGGAAATGCAGCTCGTTTTCAATTTTATAAGGTTTCATAATTATCATTTGTTATTGATATTTCCATTTTTAACGTCTTTTGTCCAACTGGCTCCATTTCGTTATCACATTCTGGGGATTCTTTTTTTTTAATTTTAGGATCAGATCATCTCCATCACCGACCCAAACATCTTGCAAACTCGCACTGGGTTACGCCTGACTTGTAGAAATCTTAATACAGAGAAAAACTGCAAAGCAATCTCAGACTGTGAACCACCCACACAGTGATCGGGCTCTCTACGAAGAGGGGAGGTACATCAACAATTAAACATGATTGTCCAACTATGAATGATTCGGACACAACATCAAATTGAGGAAAAAACAAAACATGTGGAGTTACTAACATGAAACTAAATTGAATCGCATACTGCGACGCTTGAACTTTCTCAAGAGCTTGAACCAGAAGAAGTTGAAGTTGCATTAATCTCTATAACACGGTTACGAAGCTGCCTTTGTGTCACAGCATCCAAAATGGCTGATCACGGCAAACCATCATATTACCACAGACTTAGATAATCTAATTCCGTGATATTACCAACCAATTTTATTTTAACGTGCTACAAAGTATAGGTAGTTAAACCACATACATCCTTGATATCCAGGGGTTATACTCACTTACGCTCTCTGCACCCCTGGAACATGTCATAGCAAAATTGAAGGCTCAGAGTTCACCACCTTGTGGCTGCGACAAGAACTGGCTTTGAAGTCGGGTGTCACTCCTTTGTAATCTTCAAAAGGGCATATAAATAGCCTAGCAATTGGTCAGGTTTCTTTTACCTGAGACCAATCAAATAGCTAGCCGCGTGCCTTCAATTTTGCAATGGTTGTAAACGGTTTTGGAGCATATTTTGTGAAAATGCCTAGGATGAAAGAATGATTGGGTTTTTGGGTGACAATATCAATCTTGGTTTTGGAGTTCAACGAATTTCCAGTGAGTGGCAAGAATTTCCAGCAGACTGTAGACATTTGCGTGGGGACAAACGGTACCCCTCTTCTGACCGACTTGTTTGTCTTCATATAATGCTTAATTTCCAGCAGACTGTAGTCATTCTTGTTTGATTGGTTGATTTAGGATTGAGATGGAAAATTTCACAGATCACATGACAGATAACAAGCCACTCACAGAATCCATCGATTTGGTGCGATATGGCTTTTGGGGCAAACTGAATTAAGTGGGCGATATGTATGGAGCATTAAGTGTTGGCGAATCGTCTGACACTATTAAAGAAAAAAGTTTGACCACGTTGATCGTAGGTCCTTGAAATCAATGACACTACACTCCTCTACGCGTACTTCAGCCGCTTTCCTCGATTTTTTACTTAAAACATGACCAACAAAGACAGCTTCTTACTAATCTGTATGATACGCGGGACGATTTTGATTCTCCCAAAGTGAACCTTCACTTTCTTGATAGCTACATTCATACATCCCCAGAAGAGTATTTACATGTTCATTAGATTCGGTATTCAAGAGCTTGCTTTGAATTTAATGATATCCTTGATAATTAGGGCCAATGTCCACTGCTGCCGGACTATCATACAACACAGAATATGCAGGTTGATGAAGACGAGGGAAAAGATCAT